CCTTATTCAGTAAAAATAATAACAACGAATTACAAATTCCGGCCGCACGAATAGGAAGAATATGGGATTGGAGCCCGTGCACTAAAACTGCCGCTGTGCAGAGAACGCTCTAGCGGATGAGTTAGAACGTCTCAGTGCCATTCACAGCCTATTCGGATTTGGTTATCCATTTCACCAGTAGATGCACAGAAATAAGTAAAACAATATGTAAGGTGACATTCATAGTAAACTTTCCCCATAATCAACCGAATTTCGCCGAAAAACTAGAGGAGATTGTTCAAACTCATGTTTCGATCGCCTGGACTAATCGGAATACGGCACAGAATCGAAATCAGCGGTGAGAATGGTACCAACAGTTGCAACGAATAGCAATCACTACCTTATCAACGAACACAGTATAAGATACATACCAATATCAAAAATGAGCGATGAAGACTATAAAAGATTACTCTCTCATATGTTTAACAATGGCCCTTTCTAAAATCCCCTTTCGATACCAGCGTACGAAGAGGAACCCAAGTTCTGCGCAAGCTGTTCCATTGAATTGCAGACAATCACTCGCATCACGGTCACCTCCTCTATATGGTGCACGATGCACGGTCAATCGCATGATTAAGAGATAGGCCCTAGGAAAAATGAGGGGAGTTCGGGATAATTACCGAACGCCACCGAACAAGTTTTGCGAACAGACAACAGACCAACCAATAGGAAATCACTCAAATGGGGATGAGGCATAATCCCACCGACTGAATAGAAGGAACCTCAAGCATTTACCTCATAATCGAGAAATAGCAGCTCACAACGTAAGGGAATCTCCAGTTGATGTGTTACGCACCGCGTCTTCTCGATATCATCTAAATGCAATCCCTTCGCAGTGAGCGAGTTTAGCAGGGTTGAAGGAAGCAAATTGGTCGGATCGGATTCGATGGGAACTGTGGTCGGGGGTTTGGATCCTGAAAAAACATATGACGAGAAGGCAAGGAAAATGGGACCTAATTCACAATGAACGTTGAAATCTGTGGACGATTAGAATAAGACTGGTTCTGGCAAGATGATGATACGCTATGAAAAGTACATAATCATCGAAATGTAAATGGAACAACTGACAAATTGGGTAAAATAAATGCATTGAAAGTTCATAGTTGTACCAAAGCCACCGTTTACAATGATGGGGGTGATAAAGCGATGCCATCGACGATAACGGGCTGTATTCCGAACCGTAAGCAACGAAGTCTGAACCATGCCACCACAACCCAACTTTGGTGGCAGGCCTGACTGAATACTACGGCAGTCCTTTTGAGACCCTATGTAGTTCGATGTTTATTTGAGGACTTGTGTTCATTTTAGCGATCGTGAAAAAAATGTTTTTAAAGATTTTTCCAATACTCAACCCTTGGGGTCGAAAAGTACCGGCCCGTTCCACCCGATTTAAATACCGGATTTATTTCACTCCAAATGCTCCGTTTATAGTAACCCCTCAGTTTCGTATTTGGCCCTGATGGAACGGAAGTGAATTTTCGTTGAACTTAATGATGTGGTTATCAGTACTTGTATGAGGTGAAGATAATGCACTTACTGTGCTTTCTGAGTAAAATGCAAAGAGAGAAACTTACAAAAGTTTCCTTGGTGAAAATCTGAACTACAAATAGCTAATGTCACAAAATTCTGGCAATATGCGCGGATAGAGACAGAACGTGCATTTTGCTACTGTATGCAACACTCTTCGAGATTATCACAAACCTTTATGTTTCCCCTCCGTAATCACCATGGGGGGACGCTCGTTCGACGCGAATATATCGCGATCCACGTGACCACCGTATTCATCCCAATGGACCTGAAATTTCAAAATTAGATAACGACAACAAGATTAGTTATCTCAGTGCTAAAGTGGAGCAATCGAGGATATTCATTGTATACCGGTGCATCAGTATTTTCGAGACACCAAAGAGGTGATATTCTAAAGGGCTCAACTTGAACTCCGTTTTATTACCCAAAGTACAATCAGTAATAGAAAAGGGCAAATCACCGCTACAGATTGTAGGACAAATTGAATCCAGCAGTAGTAGGACCGGGATCTCGACGTGACTTTTAGGAGGGAACTATTTTGGGGATCTCGAAAACATCGATACACCGGTAAATGTATTTGCACTGTAGTCCCTATCCCTTTCTATCCTTTGGATTCAGAAATATCTCATTTGTACAGCGAAATTTATTCAAAATGCTCCCACCTTGCACTGCCATAGAACCTGAACAGACAGATGTTGACGGGNGGTACCCCTCATTTGTGCAGTGGACTATAAGTTGATCTCAATTACACAAAGGAACAAGGCATGGGTCCAAAACCTGTCATCTCGGATGTTATCAGCCAAAGAGGAGAACCTGCTCAGAAAAGGAATGAATGTCAACCTCGGAAACGCGATAACAAAGGAGTAACTAGCCGAACTGGAACATGCATTCAAATCATCTGGATTCCCAGAAGAGTTCAAGTCCGAGCTCAGACAAGTAATAGTCTCGGTTATGCACCACAAACGGCCGAATGCCACCCTATCCAAAGCAGAACACGATGTACTGAAGAAACTCAAGAAAGACGAGAACATTATTATTCTACCGGCTG